GAGGGACGGAGCACAGGGCGGGAATCAAAGTTGGCCCATCGGCGTGGATGAGCTGACGATGCGACTCTGCCACGGACTATATATGCTGGGCTTCCCTCGCCCTCCTCGACAGCAGCTCCGGTTCTTCAAGCGAAATCCTCGTCGCCAACCGCCGATCCTGAATACCTTGGTCGCGGAAATCCAACACAATGGTTAAGCCGCTGTCCGTGTTTGCTGCCGCCCTTTTGGCGGCAGTGGCAGATGCCAATGTACGTTGCTTTTTGCATGCCAATTGCACTGAGACATTGGCTCTCTCCCCTTTTCCCTCTTCCATTGTATATGCACAACTTCCCTTGATGGACCAAGGATTGCTTGACTGAGCAGTCCATCGACTCTTCGTGCCAATGCACTTGCATAAACACGTCAAGTCGCGAGGTCTTGGTTCTCACTGCCCCTATTTCTCAACGAAGTCCCTTGAACCATTTCCACCTTCCCTTGACAATGCAAGATTCAGCGCAGTTGAACTAGAAGCAAGCAGCATTGGCATTGACTGTCAATTGGCACTGCCTCGTGCTGCTTCTACCGCGTTCACTGCTGCTGGTATATCTCTTAATCAACGGGATTGTCCCTCGTTTTCCCTTTTCTCCCCACACCTCTCTGTGTTCAAGGCACACCCAGCCGTCACTCTTTTTCACCATGAAGACATCCTTTCTTTTGGCCGCCTCTACGGCAACAATTTTGGACTTTGCAGCTGCTAACGCTCTTCCGAACCCACAGCCCTACCCTCCTCCTCACTCCAACGAGGCGTATTCGCCTCCTTTCTATCCCTCCCCATGGATGGACCCCAATGCTCCGGGCTGGGAGCAGGCCTATGCTCAGGCTAAGGAGTTTGTTTCGGGCCTGACTCTCTTGGAGAAGGTCAACCTCACCACTGGTGTTGGGTAAGCTAATTTGATTCTGCCTTGCTTTGCCAGCCGAGTTGTGCTAACTTTTACTCCAGTTGGATGGGCGAGAAGTGTGTTGGAAACGTTGGTACCGTCCCTCGCCTGGGACTGCGATCTCTCTGCATGCAGGATGGTCCCCTTGGTCTTCGATTCAACAGGTATAACAGCGCTTTCGCTACTGGCTTGACTGCCGCCGCCAGTTGGAGCCGACACCTTTGGGTTGACCGTGGTACTGCCCTGGGCTCTGAGGCAAAGAACAAGGGTGTTGATGTTCTTCTTGGACCTGTTGCCGGTCCTCTTGGCCGCAACCCCAACGGAGGCCGTAACGTTGAGGGCTTCGGAAACGACCCTTACCTGGCCGGTGTGGCTCTTGCCGATACCGTCACTGGTATCCAGAATGCCGGTACCGTGGCCTGCGCCAAGCACTTCCTCCTGAACGAACAGGAGCATTTCCGCCAAGTCGGAGAGGCCAACGGCTACGGATACCCCATCAAGGAGGCCCTGTCGTCCAACGTTGACGACAAGACCATCCACGAAGTCTACGGCTGGCCTTTCCAGGATGCTGTCAAGGCTGGTGTTGGCTCCATCATGTGCTCATACAACCAGGTCAACAACTCGTACGCCTGCCAGAACTCCAAGCTCCTCAATGGATTGCTCAAGGAGGAGTACGGTTTCCAAGGTTTTGTCATGAGCGATTGGCAGGCTCAGCATGCTGGTGTCTCGACCGCTGCTGCCGGTCTTGACATGACCATGCCTGGTGATACCCTTTTCAACACCGGTGCGTCTTATTTCGGAAGCAACTTGACCCTTGCCGTCCTCAACGGCACTGTCCCCGAGTGGCGTATCGACGACATGGTCATGCGTATCATGGCCTCCTTCTTCAAGGTCGGCAAGTCGATTAACAACCTTGTTGACACCAACTTTGATTCTTGGACCGATGGCGAGTTTGGCTACGTCCAGGCTGCCGTCAATGAGAACTGGGAGAAGGTCAACTACGGTGTCGATGTCCGTGCTGACCACGCCAACCACATTCGTGAGGCTGGTGCCAAGGGAACCGTTATCCTCAAGAACAACGGCATCCTGCCCCTCAACAAGCCCAAGTTCCTTACCGTCATCGGTGAGGATGCTGGCTCCAACCCTGCTGGTCCCAACGGCTGCGGTGACCGCGGCTGTGATGATGGCACTCTTGCCATGGAGTGGGGTTCTGGTACCACCAACTTCCCCTACCTCGTCACCCCCGACACGGCGATCCAGAACCAGGCTCTCCAGGATGGCTCTCGCTACGAGAGCATCCTGAACAACTACGCCACCTCTGCCATCCAGTCTCTCGTCAGCCAGCCGGAGGCCATCGCCATTGTCTTTGCCAACTCGGACAGTGGTGAGGGTTACCTCCACCCTGATGGCAATGAGGGTGACCGCAAGAACATTACCCTGTGGAAGAACGGCGATGATCTCATCAAGACCGTTGCTGCCAACAACGCCAAGACCATTGTTGTTGTCCACTCGACTGGTCCCGTCATCCTGAAGGACTACGCCGTCCACCCTAACATCTCTGCTATTGTTTGGGCTGGTACCCCTGGTCAGGAGTCTGGTAACTCTCTTGTCGACATCCTGTACGGCAAGCAGAGCCCCGGACGTACTCCCTTCACCTGGGGTCCTTCTCTGGAGAGCTACGGCGTTCAGGTCATGACTACTCCCAACAACGGTAACAACGCTCCTCAGGATGACTTCACCGAGGGCGCCTTCATTGACTACCGCTACTTCGACAAGGTGGCTCCCGGCAAGCCTCGCAGCTCGGACAAGGCTCCCACGTACGAGTTTGGCTTCGGACTGTCGTGGTCGACCTTCAAGTTCTCCAACCTCCAGATCCAGAAGAACAACGCCGGCCCGTTGAACCCCACCACCGGCAAGACCATTGCTGCTCCCGCCTTGGGCACCTTTAGCAAGAACCTCAAGGACTATGGTTTCCCCAAGAACATTCGACGCATCAAGGAGTTCATCTACCCATACCTGAGCTCCACCAGCTCTGGCCAGGCCGCTTCTGGCGACTCCCACTACGGCCAGACTGCCAAGCAGTTCCTCCCTGCCGGTGCCACCGACGGCAGCCCTCAGCCTCGCTCTCCTTCCTCTGGTGAGCCCGGCGGCAACCGCCAGCTGTACGACGTCATCTACACCATTACCGCCACCATCACCAACACCGGTAAGGTCATGGACGATGCTGTTCCCCAGCTGTACCTGAGCCACGGTGGCCCCAACGAGCCCGTCCGGGTTCTGCGTGGCTTTGACCGTATCGAGCGCATTGCGCCTGGCCAGAGCGTCACCTTTAAGGCTGACCTGACTCGCCGTGACATTTCCAACTGGGACACCAAGACTCAGCAGTGGGTTGTCACCAAGTTCCCCAAGACTGTCTACGTCGGCAGCTCTTCGCGCGACCTGCCCCTCAGCGCCCGCCTGCCATGAGCGGCGGCGAGGGCAAAGTTATGATGTGAATGTTTTTTATTGTATAAATAGCAGATAGTGTTAATTCAGATTAGTGAAACACATGATACCAGCTCTTGTCTCTTGTCTCTTGTCTCTTGTCTCTTGGTGATGTGCGTGTGTGTGTCTTTGTCTAGCCTTGGTCGATATATACAGTAGAGTGTCAGCACGAGTGTAATCTATTTCTTTACTCGGTTCGTTGACCTTTGTGTTTGAGGGGCCAAAATCTTGCTCTTCAATTTACGTGCTTGGTCCTTATTGCCGTATCTAGCTTCTAGCTTCATGATAATGCTTACTTGATGCGGAGAGGAGTTGATTGGTAGTGATACAGTACAGTAGCTTCAATGCTGCATCTCGACGAAAGCTCTCTAGCGTAATCGCGAGAAACAAAGAGGGAGCCCCCAGGTTTTGTACATACAAGATAGAGACCATATCGATAAAAATAAGAGTAAAAAAGAACAAAAGCCACAGATAAAATGGACGAATGACGTCTCACCGCTGCTGCATCTGCGTGACGGCGACTCGATAGCTTGAACAAGCCCGGGCGCTTAAAACGGCAGAAGTGGTCCGAGGGCGACGATATTTTTGGGTGCTGGAGGGAAAAGGTGTTGTTTGATTGGACGGGGATCCCCCCATGTCTGTTGTGCTGCGGGCGAGTGATATTTCGTGGGTCACCCTGGCCTGGCCTGTGGTGTTTCTGTGGTGAGAAATGGGAAGCTGGGCGAAAAGCGACACGAGCTGTCCCATCGCATCCATACTAATGCTTGATGTTACCTCCTCTTTTTCTTTCTCTTCTTTCTTTTCAATTTTCCCAGTTTTTGATTGTACATACATATACGCACAAACACGAGGTTATTATACGGACCATTTCCGTTTCAATTTTGGACCGGGCCCTGATTCTGATTCGCTCTAGACGCACTCCGTGTTTCGACGAATCCGCACTTTGAGACGCCAAACGTAAGACGAGCGTCCCACCTTGCGCCTGTTCATCGTTTCTTTTGTGTCTTTGCGCCGTTTCGGCTGGGCCAGCAGCCGCGAAGCTTTGGCTCTCCCTTTGATCTGCCCTGTTTTTTTTAATCTTGGCTAAGAGCTGAGATTTGCATTCCCCCGTATGTATCAAGATTGAATTCGGGGGGCTCGTTCGAGTTTAAGCTTGGGAACTAACCCCCGGAGAGGAGAGGGAGGCTAATACATTTTGACAGGTTCTTTTTGGATTTTAGCTTGGGGGCTGCTTTGCTCCGGTTTCCTTTTCAGCGCGGCGTTTCCTCCTCTCTCTCTTTCTTTCTCTTCTTCATTCATTTCTTCTCTGGTGGGAATATTTTTCAGCTGTGTGTGATTTTCGTTTTTCGCTCTCTTCTTTCTCTGTAATCTCGCTGGGCGAGAAGGTTCTTTTTTAATCAGTTCTACTTTTTGGGAATATCGCGAGTCGATATACCTTTTTTCTTTCACGATCTTCATCTCGTCTTGGCGACAACGTTTTTTTATTACGACCAAAGCATCACAAAGCATAAAAGCGCAAAGCAAAACAAAGCATCGCCCTTTACAACAAACATCCTTCAACACCCTACACACAAAGAAAAAAAATCCTATACCGCAAAAATGGGCAACAACCTTTCTTCTACTTTCATCCCGGATACGTCCAAGGACGTGCTCAGCCCCACGGACCGCACCGCCGACATCATTCTCGGCGTCACCTGGCTGCTCGTCATTTACGCTATGGTCATGATCTGGACGACTTGTGCGCTGGTGGACCGGTGGAAGGGTCCTCAGGATAGGATACGGGTTGGAGGAGGAAGGGTGATGATGGCGTTGGTCATGTCAGCAGCGTGGCCGGCTGTAGTGGTGTATCTTGCCATGGCCAAGTCGTGATGATGATGATGATGAGTAGGACTGGGAAGGAAACAGAGTTGTGAGCGAAGAGAGGGGAAACGAAACGCATTACAGGGCGGTGGTTTGTGGTGGTCAAAGGGATATCCATGGGTTTTTGGAGAGGGAGAGGTGAAGATGTGGTATTGGTTTGATACCGTGCCGTTGGCTGGCAGATGTTTCTTTACGTGTTGTTTTTTTTATGCTGAAAAAAACAAATAATAAATGGTATATTGTATTATATTACAAAAAAAAAGACAAAGACAAGTCTATCCCACCAGAGTGTTACGCCGACTCCTGTCAGAGCGCGTGTCCTTGCGCCCGATGATGCTCTCAAGCGTCTGCGCCAGCGCCTTTGCGTCATATCGCCCTCCCTTGCCCTGTCCATCTTTGGGTCCGTACAGCCTCGTCGTGTCGATTCCCAGCTGGGCAAACAGCCGCTTATCTACGGCGGGACTCGTAGGGCCCTCGATGTAAATGACGTGCGTCACGTACAGCGAATACTCATCCGCAGACGGCCGAGGCAAGCCCCTCGAATCCGCGCAGGCGTTGGCAATGGTGGCGACGAAGTCGAGCCCGGAAAAGGGGTCGCTCGATGGGCCGGTTTCACGATCGGTGGTGCCGTTGAGGACCAGGATCTTGTTTCGGATGTGCGGGCTGGCGATGGCCTCGCCCACGCCCTTGAGCACCAGGTTTGGCACCAGCGACGTGAAGAGCGAGCCGATGCTGTAGATGACCGAGTGCGCGCTGCGGATGGCCTCGAGCACGCGCGGGTTGGCCGGGATGCGCATCTCCTGGCCGTACGGGTTGATGTACCAGATGCGGTCGATGCGGCATGGGAGATCCTCCTCGTCCTGCTTTGAAATGGCAATGGCGGGCCGGCGCAGAGCAGGCAGGCTGCCGGGCAGGTTTGCGTCCTCGATGTCGTGCTCGTCCAGGTCATGGTTCGTCGACAGCGCCGGCGTGCGCGATCCGGAGGTCGGAACCAGACCCGGGCCCGGGAGCGGCACGGCGGCCGTGGGCGCGCTGGGATGCGAGATGTCGTTTTGGCCGGTGATGACGGTGCCGTCGACGAGTCCCGCCGCAATGTGATGGGCAAAGTTGGTGTTGAGCGCCGGCAGAACGGCCACGCGGTCGGGCACGGCGCAGATGGAGCTCAGCAGGCAGATGGCGGCCTCGAAGCTGCCGGTGAAGAGCCTGGCGCCCGTCAGGAACAGGTTGCCGATGCTGGACCCGGAGAAGTCGAAGCGGCTGCTGGGCCGCATGCGCTTGACGACCTCGAGGTTGAAGCTGTTGAAGAAGGACCGGATCAGCTCGCGCTTGGGCGACGAGATGTCGAGCCACAGCGGGTGTGTGCCCTCGACGATATCGAACCACTCGGCTCGAGCTCTGTCGTAGACGGGGGGCAGGCGGTGGTTGAAGAGGAGCTTGATGGCGGTTGTCTCGGGTTTGTTGTCGTTGGGGATGAGACGGACGAGACGAGACCGCACATCTCCGATGCCTTTTTGTTGTTACACATGATTCAAGTTAGAGAGACGTGATTACATGTAATTTGAAGGTTACGGGATTCAATCAATACCTGGTCCTCCGAACACGCGGATAATCTCGCTCGTGCTGCCACCATTGTCCGAGATGGGAATCACGTAGCTCAGCGTCGCCGCACTGGCCGCCCGCACGCCCTCAAACACGTCCACCAGGCTGTTGGCTGCGCTTCCGCCCGAGAAGACGACGATGCCCGTCCTGGGCACGGTGCCGGGGCCGGGACTCGACGAGAGGCGGGACAGCGGCGGCCGCGAGGAGGGTCCCACTGCAGGCTGGGGAAGCTGGAGAGCGTCGTGGACTAGGATTTGGGCCATGGCTAGGCTGGGTGTGAGATGAATCAGGTAAGGCGTAATGAGTGAGATATGCACGAGATGGGTTTGTGGAGTTTGTTGAGAGTGTAGTAGCCAGTTTGGTATGTATGTATGTGAGTGGTGTTTGTGATTACGAGTTGTTGAGAGAGAGTGAGAGTGAGAGCACGTAACGAGTGATGCTTATTCTTACGATTTCACCTCAGCGGCTTGAGATTCTCATCGCTCATTCAATCTGTTCCTCTTAAATACAGTCCTCACTCATGGACAAGTGTCCTGTTGAGAGTCACAGCCCGCCGCTCTCTCATACGTGTCATCTATTGATGATGATGAGTTTGAGAGTAACAAAAATGCGTCGTCTTGGGAGGCTTATACGGGAGAGTTTAATTAACTTGTGGCTGCACAGCCGCGAGCTTCCCTGAATATAGTCAAGTTCATCAGAGGGCGTGGGTACGGCTTAATGACACATTTTGAGGTTGTTGGTTAGAGAGTTTGCCCCGTGATAGTGATGCTCGCTTAATCGCATCAAATTGCCCTTCTCCGCTTTGGCTTCAATGGTTGAACTTTACACCAGAGCAAAAAGAGAAACATTGTGCGCAAGATTCAGCTAAATGAACAAGTCTTGAGCAAAATGCCTCAGTCGCTTAACAATTGACCGTCCATAGAACAGTAATGAGTCGTTCATCGCAGTCGTCAACATTGCCGAAGCTCCATCGGCGCCGCTTGTTGTCCCGGCCTCCGCCAATTGTATCCCGTTCGGTTAACAAAATTTCTGCAACTAGAGTCGTGTCCGGCGTCAATGATTTGACAATATCTTCCTTGGGATTTATAATGACATTCGTAAGATAGAGTTGCATATACGCTTGAAACTGAAACACAACTTGAGTGTTCCAAGTCGCAACTCTCTTCAAAGACTATTATAGCCTTGTCAACTTGCTCTGGCTAGAGTCGGGCACAACGTTGCCTCTCTTGGGCTTAGGTTCGCGCCTTGCCTCGATCTGGAAAATGCTCGATTTCAAGCCGCAGATGCAAACGCCCGCTGATGCGATGCTAGTAGCGGCAGGTGCTGGCTATTGTCGATTCTCGCAGCAGCTGAACGTCCGTTACTCATCGAAGGATTCTGGGCGTTGTCGGTTGTGGCTGCATGACGTTGCGGAAATGTCACTCTTAGTTAAGTGGTCTGTCGATAGTATCATTGTATCGTGGCGATAGTACTCTCGCGGGTTGAGTAACTCGTTTGAATCGCATAAACGTGCTCTGGAATGGATCAACTTACAAATCCAATTTGGTGCATTAGAAATGGGCCTATCTTTGGTGACAAAGTGGGAACTGCGGTATTTGACAAGTTGGAAAAAGAGATATATTGGGCCACAATCTCCATAATGCCCCATCGAACCACCTTGTGACATCTATCAACTGCAATAGTCTTTTTTTCCTCTTTTCAACCAGGCAACCTGAGTAAAGTGTTGCTGGTTCAGCGCAAAAAACAAAACCCAAACATCTTCATCTCCAATTATATCCGCATCAATCCCGGGCAGCTTAAGAATTTCACAATGAGCTCCTTCACTATCCCCAAGACCGTTAAGCAATGGCAAGTTGCTGAATACAATGGCTTTGAGGGACTCAAGTTCTCTGAGCAGCCCCTGCCTGAAGTTGGCGACAACGAGGTTTTGGTTAAGCGTATGTACTAAGCAACTCCTTTACACATCACTCAACGATATGACAAGAATATGAAAAGGAGAAGAGGAACATGATCAATGAAACTATTCAATGCTAACATTCATCCTGCTATAGTCGAGGCTGCCTCTCTCAACGTTAGTTGACCTGCAATTCGCTTTCTATTGCGTTGTATTACGTACATGTCTCCTATATAGTTGCTGACTTTGACTACAACAGTACCGCGATCTCATCATCGCCAGGGGTGAGTACCCCTTCGGCATGGCCCCAAATGTCGTCCCCGGATCTGATGGTGCCGGCACTGTCGTCTCCGTCGGCAAGAGCGTCACCCTCTTCCAGCCCGGCGACAAGGTCATCACTCTCTTCAACCAGGCTCACCTGGGCGGAAATTTGACCCCCAAGACCATCGCTACCGGAACTGGAGGTGTCCTAGACGGCGTTCTCCGCACCTATGGCGCCTTCAACGAGAACGCTCTTGTGCGCAGCCCCTCCAACTTGACTGCTCTTGAGGCCTCTACCCTTCCCTGCGCTGGCTTGACTGCTTGGAACGCTCTGTTCGGCTCTGCCGACCACATCGTCAAGGCCGGCCACTGGGTTCTCGTCCAGGGCAGCGGAGGTGTCAGCATCTTTGCTCTGCAGTTTGCAAAGGCTGCGGGTGCCAGGGTTATTGCCACCACCGGATCTCCCGCCAAGGCCGAGCAGCTGAAGAAGCTTGGTGCCGACCACGTCCTCAACTACAAGGAGGATCCCAACTGGGGCGAGACGGCCAAGAAGCTGACCGGCGGCCGCGGCGTTGACCACGTCGTGCAGGTTGCCGGTGCCAAGGAGATGGAGCAGAGCATTGCCGCCGTCAAGATGTGCGGTGCCATCGACATCATCGGCTTCCTCGCTGGAGGCGGAGACGAGAAGGAGCCTAGCTTCCTGCGATGCTTGTCCAGCCTGTTCACTGCTCGTGGTATCCTTGTGGGCAGCCGTGTGCAGCTGGAGGAGTTGGTTGAGGCGATTGAGGCTCACCCTGAGACGCTGAGGCCGGTAGTTGACGAGAAGGTGTTTAAGTTGGAGGAGCTGAAGGAGGCGTATGAGTACCAGTGGTCGGGCAAGCACTTTGCCAAGGTTGCTGTTGAGATTAACTAAAATGACTGCTTTCTAGCTTGAGCCTGATGAATAAAGAATAACGAATAAAGATGAACAACGTGGACATACTTTGCTAAACTGCTGAGTGTTTGTTGAGAATGGACTATCACGTACGTAAGCGATCTAGACACATCGTGTTGGGAATTGGGCATGTTGTGCTCGTCAAGCTACTGAACAAGTTGGTTGCACAGAAGTGAACTTTATGAATGGAAACTTGGAATAAGACTTTTCAACCATGGAACTCAACGCTGCGGTTTGCAGCCTTTGCCACTCTTTCATCATTGCATAGGACAGAGTGCTAGTGTGTTGTTAGCTTGTTTGCCTTGGTAAACTGAACACCGCAGGATGATCATGATGGCACAGACTTCGGAGTCTTTACTTTATTCACCTTGTTGTCAGCCCCTCTGATTCCAGAACGAATCCAACTCATGTCATCTGATCGTTCATAAATGTGCCCCATTGCATAAGCGCATAGACTAGACACAACATGGGTAGCTAACATTGTGCCCTTTTTTTTCACTGAGTGTCGAGAGTGGGCGTACAGCATGAGGCAGCTGCAGCTGTGTTATAGCTGAATACGTTTTACACCGATTTCGGAGCTAACATGCTACTTTGGTGATTGAAAGCGTCATGGTGAGAGGCGATCATCTTTGTGCGTTGCGAAATGACGAATGCAATCGTTGTCAATATGTAATTTTGCCTCGCTGGCGCTGTTATTATCTCATTAACTAATTATCATTGATGGATCCGCCATCAGTGTTGTATAATGTATATGTACATGTATGCATCATCATAAAAGGACCGTGGCATAACAACCGTTACCCATTATTACCCAAAAGCCGTGATCCTGGAAAATGACCAGCCCGATAACCCCATAATGCGTTCCGTGTCAATCAATATGCTTGTTGTGTTCATGTCCGGTTCCCACAAATCAGTCCAGTGTAATCCTGATTCCAAAAAACGTGAAACTCCACCATGATGTAAGGAATGAAAAAAAGTGTAAATAAATGGTGCTGGCAAAGTTGCGGTGAGGAAAAAGAAGGTAGGGAGGACCCTTTAGTCCTTGTAGTCGCACTTCATGCTCCAGGCTTTCCAGCCGGCCTTGTTGTCGAAGCAGTGTCCCTTTGTGAAATCCTTCTTGCCCTTGGTGCACTTGTCGTCGGTGTAAGCCGTGACTACGAGATGCGGGTTAGTAAACAATGTCTTAGATTGGGCATTCCAGCGCTCGTGGTTTTCCTTACATGTGCAGCCCTTGTTAATGTCTGTCAGGCTCAGAGACTTGGGCTCACTGTCGTTGAGGCCCTTGCATTCGCCATTCTTGAAGTCGTCATCAATGACGGTCCAGACGCCGAGGTTGCCGTCGTGGCAGCCCTCGGCGCTGTAGAGGCGGAAGTCTGCAACGTGAATGTTGCGGGGGATGAAGAGGGCGTTGGAGCCGGCAATGAGGGTAGTGGCAGCGGCGAAGACGGCGAAGAGTTGCATCTTGACTGAGAGAGTTGTGAAATGGATTGAAAGTGTTGAAGGGGGAAAGATGATGATGAGGCGTATGAGGTTGAGGCGACAGGTGAGGGGTTGGTTGGAAAGCTTATTGTAGCTGTATAAGTTGGTTGATTGCTTCTGTTTGATGAGAGCTCAATTTAAGTCTAGATGCTTCTCAGCTCGACTCTTTATACCCCTCTGGAACCCCGGACAAGGCCCATCTAGAACTTTGATCCTCGGCCAGACCAAGGCCAGGCCGATCTCTGACGAAAAACACGGCGGAGCGACACGAAATGCAACCACGGCATCCGAAATAGTGCAGTGGAGCTGCGCAGCTGCAGTGTTCCTCCCGGATACGATGTGTCTTCGGTCTGCTCAGCTCGACCCACGCACTGTGTATCTAATGGAGCTTTTCTATCATCCATCGAAACGGACACAGATTCTACACCCAAACATCCCATATAACAGAGCCAACAACGCCATGACCTTGTCTCCCCTCATCCCTCAAAACTGGAGCCACAGTGCGCAGCCAAAGAGCCCCCCCGCGTGACCCAAAACTCACAAGGTTCTGCTGGCTCTGGTCCCTCTTTTTGTCTGCTTGCCGCCAGTTGACAGATAGAGTTCGAGTCCAAAGAGCACCGCCGATCACCTCTTGTCCCCTAAAAAATAACGAGGTTGGGCGAAGCGAGCTGCCTTTTACTCCACTGGAAGCCGGACCCTCGCCTTTTGGTCCCGCGTTGCCGCTTTCCGCAGCTCTTCGGACGCCTCGGTGGCGATTTGCTGTGCTATGAGTCGATCGATCATAGGGGTGCTTTTTTCCAACAGTCTTGTCCGCTTTGTGCTCCGTGTCCAAGGCGGTGTTTTACATGAATGCGAGCTTTGGTCTTCTGATAGCCCCGCGGAGGCGTCGTCGTGTGGATCGGAACTTGACATCACCGTCTTGCTAGGGACTGAGACATAACGTGATGCTGCTGATCCCTTGCGTTAAGCATACGGTTACTCGTAACGTGGTTGTTTGATGCTAGATCCAAGCACCATCTGTCGTGATTACTCAGTGGATACAATCAAGCAAGATGTCTTGTCTTTCTTCGTGTTTGGTTCAACCTCCTCGGCATTACCGCGCCCTTTGCGCCACTGGGATGCCGTGTTACCACCAGCACAGCCATCCACGATAAATGCAGTCTTTTATCATGCATGTCCGTCTACAAATGGCGAAAGCAGAGCAAAACAAACAAACCAGCTCCCGAGAGCTCAAGGGAACCAGCCCCCGGTTGCCAAGATGAGGTCGTGGAAGCTTGCATGTTGCCATGGGAGCCGAGACCGACGGCCCATGCCACAGCATCTGCGCCCAAAGAACGGCCGAGCCTTGAGAAGATGCGTGCACGCCTGATTCATGTGATATTACACCTCGGTGAAGGAGCGAGGAGTCGCTATATACGGATTACGGAGTAGGTGTATATGCAAAAGCACAAGTAGGATCGCCCGGCGTGGGCTGACGTCTAAATATAGGCAGTGCCTCGCAATTGCTCTACCCTAGACGTCATAATATGGACTGATGTGGAACTGTTATTACGTTGGTTTAACGGACTTTGATGCCTGGAGCAAGCTTGACTCGCGGAATGGGCATAGTTGACATAGTTTTGGTAGCTTGAAGAATTGACGCCTCATTGAATCCTCCGCTCCTCGACTAGCTGCTAAGTCGAGAGACGGCCTTGGGAATTGAGTTTGACGGCCGTGAAGCTCTAAGTGGAATAGAGCTGGATTGGAGCTCACCTCGGAGATTTATCCGAATCATGTGCATTCTTATTTCGTCGATACACTATCCTCTAATGGCAGTTGATGGCAGCCACTATAATGGCATACTACACCATTGGCGACAAATCAAGATGTGTAAAGAAATCTATCCTGATTGGCTAAAAGATGGCAGTCAGCTACTGCATTGCTGCTTTGGACATGATTCAACTCGTCAATAATTTTACTGGGTATGCAGGTCTTAGTACCAAACCCTTGGGATGCTATAGAGTCTATGAAATGATGCATGTCTGATGTGGGCGAATCGGCAGACGCTCCGAGAAATGTTACCGATCAAAGGAGCAAATGCTGTTATGAACTCGTCTTGTTTACAGGCAGGCGAGCTTTGACTGTTCTCGATCGCCCCGTAGTTCATATAATTTTAGGATGCCGATTATCAACTGCCGCCAAAAATAACAAATGTTTTGCTCCTCAATCTTTGTACGGCTAAAATTATAATTGAAAGGGATTCTGCAATGTCCATAATGTGAACACTAGATAGAATAAATATAGAAAAAAGGGAAAGGTTGAACGAAATTACAAAGCAGTTATACACTGGTAGGCAGGCATGTTTTCTTTGTGTTTCTGTAATGCTTTGAAGTGCATTGATCTGATCAGTGTTCTATTTTGAGAGTGCTCAATGCACGGACAAAACGACCTCTTGTTTCTCTAGCTTCTATTTTGAGCTTGCTTTATGCACGGACTGTATGATCTATTGTTTCTCCAAGTGTCATCATAAACCATAGCAATAAGGCTTCAGTTCTCTTGATATCATCTGTAAACAATTTGATTGTGCTTGAGCCGTTCTCAGCACACTTACAAAGGACAAATGATGATACAAAGGCCAATTCATGAACTCAACCATTCCGTAAATACACATTCTATGAACAACACTCAATTATCTTGATGCCAGCATGGGTGCTCACAACTATAAATTATCATGGATGAGCCTCGTTTCAATCCATCTCAATCACTCTCAAGCTTCTACATTTCTACACCCGATCATCACAAGAACCAAATTCAGCTCAAGCACTCTCAAGTTTCTACACTCGACAACGTGATTACAAGCACTAAATCATCTCAACCACTCTCAACCTGACGACGTGATCACAAGGATCAAATTCATCTCAAATCGACTTGCTAACATCTCTTCATTCAAAATGGCTGAGAACAACACCCCCTTCGTCTCTGAGGACTGGCATGAGGAGTTCGACAACCTCAACACCTTCAAGCGGGGTGTAGCATCTACCAGTTCCAGCGTTTACGGTAATGACGATTCCGGCGACGAAGACTCTAGCGATTACGCGAGTGATGACTCTCGCCATGACGACGGCTATGCCAGCGAACACTCCAGCGCCGACGAACTCAACCTCAACGCCTTGGGCATTACTGGTTTGAGCAACAGCGGCCCCAGCAGCAAGTATTCCAGCAGCCGCCCTTCAAGCAGGGACTCCAACTCCGTCGCTGGTTCGGAGATTTCCAACGAACAAGTCCTCGACAATGCGCCTCTCCTAGGAGGTTTCCCATTTCTTCCAGACTTTCCCGAGGAATTTGTCAATCTCTTCAAGATTGTTAACCGCGAATCCGTTCCAGGGGCTCTCAGCGTCGACATGGTGGCAGAACTCGGAATTATTCTCATCTTGCCTCCTCGATTCGTCCGACCAGGCATGATCACCCGACCCTATGATGCCACTCAATCGCCCGGGGAAGGTTTCCGTCTCTCCATGGCCTTCGCTCCTAACGGAAAAATCACCGGAGAATTGGCTGATGCAGCATTTGCCATTGAGATTCATGATGCCGAAAAGTATCAGGGCAGCATCGGTAATGGACGACGCTGGGAGACTGTGAAGCATATGCTCGAGGAGATGCGTGCGTCGCTTTATCCCTCGCGTGAGTCTGATGAGTGACCTTGACGGCCACCGTTTCTCGCTATTTAGAAGCGAGAATGAAGCCACCATTTGCGTTCTTGCTGGCCAAGACGGGAGAGAATGGGCATAGTTTTGGTTTTGGTTTTATTTGTATTGCTTAGTTGTGGACATTTGGTTTTAGTTTTGTTTGTATTGCTTGGTTGTAGAGATTCGTTTGGCTGGCTTGTTGAAAGCCATAGACACACTCGTTATTAATAAACATTCCGGAATGTTTTTGCTTTTAAAAAAATAATAGAACCCTTCCATCTCTTTTCCCCCCGTGATGTCTTCCAATTTGACTGTCCGGTTTTCCACTTGCTCACCACATTCCACGCTTGCCCACTCCTTGCGCCAGTTCCAGCAACAGCCGCATGAGGACATGGATTATCTGCAACAGGATACAAATTCCAACGCTGACACCAGACCAGAAGGTCGGTAGACGATCGTTTTCATCGCACATTTGATGCTTTCCTTGGTCAGCTACATAACTGGCAGTTTCGACCCTTGACTCCATTGTTGGTTCGGCTGGAGCGGCGACGGTGGTGGTGGCTGGATGGGATGCACTTTGGCCAGAAGTAGTGCTCTGAGTAGAATTACGACGACCATCGGTCGTGTATGAAGCGGTGGTGCTCGAAGCGGTGGGATGTTCAGATGGTATAGTGCCGTCTGCAGGATCTTGCGGGGGAGACCACGGAGGGGACGGGGGAGCGCTGTGTTGCATAGGAGGGCGTGAGTAATTGAGACGGGAGTTCCACCAAGTCACTCGTTCATGTCTCGGGCAGAAAAAGCTGGATGGAGGATTGATGGCACAATTGCAATCTCGGAAGTTGCATTTCTCTGTGAGGTTGAAAGAGTTAATGGAGAGGAGGCTATATAGTGACTTGCAACGGAGACTCACCACTGGGGGATACAGGCGTGGATGATGGTTGCTCACAGCATCTTGCATAGGGGGGCGTCGCATACCCCGAGCCTGTTACTATATTAGCATTTTGGAAGGAAATGATTCCCAGTTATATACATGCCTTGATTGTTGGAATTTGCCCGATCCCAATCTGTTGTTGTGTCAGAACCAAGAGTCACTCCATATAAAGCATATCAAAAGGAGGGAAGAAAGAAAACTCATTACGCTTCTCGCAATACTTGTACGTGGTCGTCTCGCCGTTGTGCCTCGTGGACTTGCGTTCTCGGTTGCAATATTCAACTTTGCAAGTCTTGCGTTTTGAGCTGTGACTCTTGGAGCGCCGGCTGCTGGATGAATGTTCGCGGCCCATGATTGAATCCTCGGTATGTAGCGAATAGTTGTACTTGAGCAGTTGCCAGGAAGTATCCCAAAGGAAGATCACCTGATGGAACGATAAGTGAAAACTGATGAAGCTCAAAGGAAACAAAACACTCAAAATTGAGGATTATAGCTGTTGGATTAACCGGATGCTTTTGTCTTGATATATACGCCGCGCCCTCATGGCGATACATGATTCTCTGTGACTTTCATGCCAAGGCCAATTCAACAACCGCGCAAAGTAAAACTTCTCCTTTGCTCCATTCCTCAAGTGAAGTTATATAATGTCTTCATTGCCGAAAGGCAACCTGCAGATGATGCTGATGATATTGCGGGTTGACGAACACGGCAGCCACTTACATGCAGACCGGCGATTTAGACAAGACAGCGCATGGTTTCTGAGCTATTCACCGAATTCGCGATACCGGAAATACCGGAAATGCTAGATACGGTATACCCAGATTGATCTACATCCTGCCAAAAGAAATCGATTCACCTAATCAAGTGGTGCCTATACTTGTCCATGACCTGTTTGTTAACGTCAGGTAATGCCTCCATGCTCACACCCGCCATGCATATAAATGTGAATCTGGTTCATCAGCCACCATCCAAACGCCGCAAAACAGCATACAAAAAACTCAATTCACTTCCCAAAAACAGCCAACGCCTCAATCAATAGCCCTCCCATAGCCGACCCTCCTCAACGGAAACTAGACGGTTGCTCTCCGCCCCCACAAGCCACAACATGCCTCCTCACGTTGAACAGAATAATGAACTTTCAACGGCCACCACATGAGAGAGAATACCAATAGCAACGCTGAATCAGCCAAAAAAAAAAAAACAGCCACCCCCAAACACCCGGAACATGGAGTAATTTAAAAGACACAAACCCAAGAATTCGGGCAAATAAAACGCCCCAAGTGCCCACCCCCGGGTTCCTCTCCGCACCGAGCTAAGCCAAGGATGAAAGAAGAGACATTTTGATCCATTCATTTTTTTTCCCCGCAGCATTTTCTCCATCAAATGATAAGCTGCGTCTAACTTGCATGCGACCACACTTTACCCCGGGGTCACACCATAGATAGGCATAAAGTAATAGGAAATCTCGGGATGGGGGAAATATAGCCTGTTTGCATGGGGGCATGCACTTACTCGTACAGCACGAGTTTTGACTTGCTCGGATGAATTGGGTCGGCGCTCATGTACGTGTATGTAAATGCAGCTCAGCCCCGGATTACGTCAAAACTTGCAGTCGCCTCACCTGGAGACCTGAATCTCACGACTTTTTTTTTCACCGTAGTGTTGAGGGCTTTTATTCTTTATTCTGCATACCTCGTTTGTTTCTCTCTTCGTTCTCATTGTTTCCCGTTCCTATCTGTATATTCCGGTCTCGCCAGCCTGGAATCCCCTCATCATCCGTTCCCGTCGATAGTAGAATCGCCCATGCTCAATCCCAGCTCCTAACAAAATCCCCATGCAAACACTCGCATCCAGCAGCCCATCATGACGCGCCTCGGCACATGGAGGGCCACCTACCTCGTCGCCCTGTCATGTGTCGGCTCCTTTCTCTTCGCCTACGACACGGGCATCGTGGGCGGCGTCCTGACGCTACAGTCCTTCCAGCGAGACATGGGCTTCAGCGACGGCGAGCAGGAGAATGTCGCCTCACTGTCGGCCAGTCTGCTGCAGGCGGGAGGTACGTATATAAATATATATGTATATATCTTGGGCCGAAGCCGAGTCTGCCTAATTGATACGAGTTCTGGGTTCTAATTGGGGGTTCTGAATCTTGTAGCCTTCTTCTCGTGCCTGTTCGTCTGGCCGTTTACCGCGCACTACGGCCGAAGATGGGCTCTGGCGGTGGCATCGCTCATTTTCAACATTGGCGCCGTGCTGCAGCTCTTCTACCAGCAAGGAATCGCGACCTGGTACGCCGGGCGTACGATATCCGGCATTGGCGCAGGTACATACAACTCATACACCCATACACACACACTTACATGGCCGATTACAATCACTCCGAGACTAAAACTTAACTGACTGAATTACAATTCCTCCCAAAAACAGGCGTCGCAACCGTCATCATCCCCATGTACTCGGCCGAAATGGCCCCCAAGGAAATCCGCGGCCAGCTCGGCAGCCTCTTCCAGTTCTTCTTCACCCTGGGCGTCGCCGTCAGCTACTGGGTCGACTACGGCGCCGCGCAGCACATCGAGCCGTCGACGGCGCAGTGGCGCATCCCCGTGGCCCTGCAGCTGGTGCCCGGCGGCATCCTGGGCCTGGGCATGCTTTTGACCAAGGAGAGCACGCGGTGGCTGGCGCAGCACGACCGGCACGAGGAGGCGCTGCAGTCGCTGATCTGGGTGCGAGGCGGCGACAGTGTTGAAGTGCGGATGGAGTTTCATGAGATTGTGGCGGGCATTGAGGAGGAGGAGAGGCAGACGGCTGGCGTTACGTGGAGGGAGTATTGGCTACCGGCGAACCGATATCGCATTTTCCTGGCCGTAACTCTCCAGATTGGTAGGATCCTGCTTTGCTGTGTGAAGGTTTGCATTGATAAGTTCCAACATGCTGACCTTGGAGAATAGGCGCCCAGATAACGGGAAACACTTCCCTGGCATACTGTACGAACGAGCCCCAATCTCATCTGATATCGTCTCTCATCCCATCTACACCATTTGCTAACACTCTCAACCCCCCTCGCACATAGTCTCTCCTCAAGTCTTCCAAGCCGTCGGCGCCGGCCAAAACGCCCTGCTCCTCAGCGGTTTCTTCGGCGTGTGCAAGGTCGTCAGCTGCGCCTTCTTCCTGCTCTTCCTCGTCGAGCGCATCGGCCGCCGCTGGTCCCTGCTGGCCGGCTCATTCCTCATGGGCATGTACATGTTCATCATCAGCGTGCTCACGCAGCGGTATCCGCCCATGGGTAATGGGACGTTGACGCCGCCGGCCATTGCGTCGATTTCGATGATTTTCCTGGAAGCGAGTGAGTGGTTTTTTCCCCTCCCTTTGTTCTTGTTTATATGATGCGGTGTGGGATGCCGTCAGATGATGGCTGCGTGTAAGTCAAAAAGTCGGAACATCCAAAGTTGCTAACATGGAAACGCAATGCACAGTGACGTTTAACATATCGTGGGGTCCCATCCCATGGGTAAGTCTTCCATGGAATATCTCTTCCAGCCCCGCTTCGGTCAGATTTCCATTCGCTAATCAGAGATGCAGCTGTATATGAGCGAAATCTTCCCGACAAGAGTCCGCGAAGGAGGCATCGCCGTCGGCGCAGCAACGCAATGGCTGTTTGGCTTCACGCTGTCCCAAGTGACGCCCGCCGCCGTCAACAATCTCCGATGGAAAGCCTTTCTCATGTTCTGCTGCTTCAACTGGGCGCTGGTGCTGTACACCTGGTTCTTCATCAAAGAGACAAAAGGCCTGTCTCTGGAAGAAATGGACATCTGTGAGTTACCCAAACCTACAACAACCCAAACTAATAACCTCAAAACGTGCATCGTTAGCTAATCGGGAAATTAAAAAAGTGTTTAATGCACGACGCACACCGATTAGTGTGCTGGCGTATCGCCATGATGATAAATCGTCAGATGACGACGTGTGATTGGCCGCCTGAGTTCTGGATGGCCTTTTTTTTTCTGACTCTGCATGCCTTCTTTATTCTTGAGCAAATCGGGGGGCTGCATGGACTTTGGCTATACGATGATTGATCCCTTTGTAAGCGGCTTGAGATGATGAATAATATTAGTTTTGGTCCAATTCGGCCTTTCGGCCTTTGCCGAGAGCGACCGGCGGTGCTAAATCCAAACCCAACTCTGAGCTAGCTCTTGACTGAACCCCGAAACCGAGATGTTGATACGTAGCTTCACATATTCTTTGCAGTTCTTTTCCTCCTCCCATGTCGTGCATCTTGCGAACCTGCTAGCCTGATACATCTCACCGGGAAATATCATTGATGAAAGCGTCGCTGGTTTCGCTGTCCGGTTGTCGCCTCTCCGGGCCGCTCTACCGCAGCCGAGGTGGGTAATGAATGCCCCCTTCATCACAAATTGGACGTCATAGGGCTGGTCTAAGAGGAAACATGTATTAGTTGCTGCGCATATATACTCAAAAGGAGTGCAGCCCAGTCGAGCTGTATCAAATCGACTTCAGCCGGTTCTGGGGTCTTATAGGCGGCAGTTGAGCTCAAAAGCGTTCACAGGCTGTAGTCGCCACCTCTCGACCACCGTTAATACAGGGCAAACTCCATCAAAAGACAACATGTCTTGCGTCTCACTCATCCTGACACCGGACGTGCTTCTGAGCGTTCGGGAGTTCTGGTTCGAGCACCTGGCAGGTCCAGATGGCCTCGTCATGCCCAGCACAGAGGAGAACAAGAGATGGTTCTTTGGCGGATCAGAGTTTGACAAGCTATGCGTGTAAGTCATCGCCATCTTACCATCCTATTTTCTTCACATCTCAAGCTGACCTTGATACTCGTCATCTCCGTAAAGTGAGCGCTTCGCTCCTACTCTAGAAGCCATCCGCAAGGAGGGCATCAAATCAGGCCACGACATCATCTACGCCCTGCAACCCAGAGACGCCCACGACTGGCTCAGCCTGGTGCTTCTACTAGACCAGATCCCGCGCAACTGCTACCGTGGCGAGAGCTCGGCCGTCGTCTTCAACTATTACGACAGCATGGCCCGCGACATCGCGCTGGAGGCGATTCAGCGCGGCATCCCCGACGAATGGCCCGAGATTCGCTGGCGGTTCGCCTGCCGCGGCTGGTTCTACGTGCCGCTGATGCACTCGGAGGACGTCGATCTGCACGAGCTGGCGGTGCAAAAGTATCAGGCGTTTGCCCGCGACGTCGAGAGCCTGCTGCTACCCGACGCCAACTCCAATATCAACGGCGACGAGTCCGATGTCGCTCACGAGTACCGGATCACGGCGCAGCGAGTGATGCAGGCGAACCCCAAGGTGGCCAAGGAGTATGGCCAGCTGAACTTGAACTTTGAGAAGAGGCACTGGGCCATCATCAAGCGGTTTGGACGGTACCCGCACCGGAATCTGGTCCTGGGGCGGGAGACGACGGACGAAGAGCGCGAGTATCTGGAGAATGGGGGAGACACGTTTGGAGGGTGATTGAAGATTTGATGCTGCATGATGATGATCACATGATATCGTGTATACTTGTACATACCTACCTACTCCGTACTCGTACAATGTCTTGGACAGAATCTCAACTATACGCACTAGATCCTCGTGTCAGCGTATTGCGTATTGTATTGTAATATTTTAAAAACAAAACTCAATTCAATTCAAACTCATCTCATCTCATCTCAAATCATCACAATCAATCACACATGCACCGCCCAGAGCGTAACTCAGCCTCTCCCGCCATCAGCACCAAATATTGTCCCGACGCGCCACGGCCTCCGGAGCAACTTGGCCGCTGAAGAATCGGGCAATTTTCCTCCCATCATTCCCATCTTTAAAGCCTCGGCACCCACTGGTCACACTTCTCGTCACCCAAAAACACACTGATTTGGAGAACCCAATAAGGCTCTAGCCTCAATCTGCCTGCCTCCAATTTCGGGTTGGGCTGTCAAATCGATTCAATCCCAATTTTCTTTAGCACAAAGCTCGCCATTCGCTGTGATTCGCCCAGCGCAGTCCCCTTGTTGCATCGCTGTCCTCTTTCTCACACCTTGTACAGTACACACAAAACCTCACACACAAAACACCCAATTTCCGAATCCTTCTCTCTTTTCCTTTCTTTGCTTTCTCGCGTTTGGGCTTGTTGTCGTGTTTTTGTGTTTTGTTCAATTGGGCATCCCCACGCTAAATCTCGGGAAACCCGCCGCTTATTTTTGCCCCTCCCCCTCAATTCCCACCCAATTTCTCATCTCATCCTCATAAAACTTCGTGATACTCACGTAAACAAACCAAACCAAACCACCAAAAAAGAAACAAACCCATTAAACCTCCCCCCAAAAATGGTCACCACACGCGCCGCCTCCTCTCGCGCCGCCAGCGTCGAGCCCACCGCCTTCGTCCCCGCAACCCCCTCCGCCAAACGCTCCTCCAAAACATCCGCCACCAAGTCCTCCAAATCATCCGCCTTCACCCACGTTCCCACAACCGCCACCCTCGCCTGGCTCGCCATCTCCCTGCCCCTCGTCATCTGGGACACCGGCTACGTCCTTCTCCGCCCGCTGTCCATGCCCGGCGGCTCCCTCCACTGGCCCATCTGGGCGCCCTACAAGCTCTACGGCGAGGTCGATCACATCTACGGCTTCAAGGCCTTCAACGCCGGAAACGGCTTCACCAGCGCCCAGGGCTTCCTCAATGCCGTCGAGACCCTGCTTTACCTCTGGTACTTTGCCGCCTGGTTCTTCTCCGGCAAGCGCTCCTCTGCTGGAATCAAGGTCTTGAGCGGGAGGGCTGGTGCCTGGGCTACTCTCATTGGCTTCAGCGCCGCTGTCATGACGCTTAGCAAGACGGTTCTGTATTGTAAGTATTTTCGAGATACCCCGTAAATAAAATAAAAACAGATAGAAAAACTCAAAATGATGTAAATCAAACTAACGGCAGACAGGGCTAAATGAGTACTACAGTGGCTTCGACAACATCGGCCACAACCCCCTTCAGGATCTCATCCTGCTCTGGATCATCCCCAAGTATGTTCAAACTCTCCAATTCATTCGTGAAACCCACTAACTCGTTTAAAAAAGCGGTGCTTGGCTCGTTGGCCCGACCTACATGATCTGGTCCATCGGCAGCGACCTGGTCAGCGGCCTTGACCCCGCCTCACGCTCAAAGAGCGAGTAAATGCATGTATTAAAACACTGTTTCAAAATATCTTGGCCATGGCACGGCATGACATGGCATGTGCTCTCAGTCTTGTAACGCGGTTAATGGGGGACATGATTGGTAACAGAGGAACGTGTATGTATATGTATATATATGAGTCTGTATGTATACCCGCAATGCGACGAATACGAAGAAATGACCTCGGCTTGCATCGACACTTCAAATAACTCTCGTAGTAAAAAAATAATTCAACTTCAAGTCTAAGAGGCAATGCGCGCTCTTTTGTAACCCGATTTTGTACCATATCCCAGGACTTGGAAACAGAAAAAGGAATGTCCAATACAAAATGAATGACAGCCAGAGAAAATGGTATCGTAAGCGTGTCAGCCGACACTGGGTATCAACCAAAATATGCAACAAACATAAGAAAAGAAAAAAAAAGCAAAAGAGAGAATAAATACCAAAAGTTGCTTTTCCACCATTGAAGAAATCATTTCCTGCTTCTTTTCCTTCTCCCCCTGCCCAAGTTCACATCATCTCATTATTCCCAATCATATGGATGCATGTATGTGGGCTAACTCATATCAGTAAGTCCTCCCAAATCAGAATATTGTGCCCAGGCGTCGTTCATATTAGCTTCAGCCTCTGTCTCAGTCCCGTCCATAAAGGCTAGCATTATGGACCAATCATCGGAATCCCTCCGGCTGGGAGTCCACGTTTCTTCGCTGATGCTGTTTTCACGAATGCGGACGGAAATGTTCTTGGCTTCAAACCCAAAATTCTTCCGTCGAAGGTCTCCGAGCATCGTGTAGCGTCGTTGCAGGGCGGTTGGCGCCGGCGCCGACCGCGCGGGCTCTAAACTTCTTCGTTTTCTCTTGACGTCTTCTTTCCTGTCAACCGCTCCTGAGTAGCTGTGGAGCCCCGCCGCTAAGCTCCCCAGTTCGCCGGAAATGGCGCTGGCTGATGCCGAACGCGGCAGATCCAGTCTTACCGGGGCCTTGTCTTGTGGACCCCAGCGGGCGAGCATCATCTCAAGCTCCAGGGCGGCGTCCGTCGTGGGCGTCGTAGGACTGGACAGCGCGCTCGTGGAAAGCGTATCAATCGTGCTGCTCATGCTCTCGGGCACTGACGAGGCAGTGGTGCTCGAGCTCGAGTTCGATTGAGACGACGCTGTCGAATCGCTCCGGCCCGCCAGTGCGCCCTTCATCATCAGCCCCTCATCCTCCGGCTCTACCGTGACTGCTTGTGTCCCGTTCCCATAGCCTTGTACGACAATCTCGTGGTACAATGGCTTCGCCGGCGCCGGCGGCGTCGACGGCTGTGATGCCGACATGGAGCTCCTCCTGAATTTCCTTAGCGACCTGCGGATGGTTGAATTGCGCCTCAGGCAGTTGGAAAGAGAGCTCGATCGAGAAAGGGTTGCAGGAGACGAGCTGTCCGACAGAGTCGACATGGATGGATTGCGGCTCTTGTTGTGCGTCAATGCGAAGTAGTCAATATCGGGCTTGATCTCTATCCTTTCCACCGGAGTTTCCTGTATCTTGGTGGCCCGCTTGGTCACGAGGTCGTCATCGGCCACAATGTCTGTCTGGATCCGCAGGGGTTTCTTCGTCTCGTGAGATGCTGATGACCATGGAGGGGTGCCATTCATCGAGACCGTGAGGTGGTAAGACGTCTCCTCGCCCCGCACCTCTGCCGGTTTTCGTGTTGCACCGCGTAGGACTTGGTGGACTGCATAAACCAGGATCCATCGCACCTTACGAGCCTCCAGCAGTGAAATCTTCTCGCTCTTGTCGGCCTTGCTGGGAGAAAGAATGGCATCCTCTTCAAATCTGCGGTATGCCTGTACGAGGTCGTTCTTGAAACACTTTTCTGTCCAGTTGGATGCCGTGATTAAAGCCGCAATCGTGACTAACCGCTGTCCAGGGATGACCTTTTCAACAAATGGAAGCTTTGAGAGGCGACGGAGCCCATCATTAGGAACCTCAAGCTGAGGCAGCTGAGGCAGGGGATGCTGCAAGGGCTCGAATTTGTTGTTTTCGTTGAATGTCTGGACAAGCTGCTCAGTACAGATGCCGCCGACCGCCGTTGATGGTATGATATCCGATGCAGTATAGCTGTTATCCACAAGAAGCTCATATAGGGCATCAAAATCCTCTGCCATTATGCTGAGTACATCTGCGTTGAACGTCTTGGGAGGATAGTAGCCGAACTTGGCTGAGTAAAAGGACAGCAGAAAGCTTCGGAACCTCTCGAGGTGGGCGCGGGTCCCGACTGGAATTCCCAGATTCGTTTCCGATAATTCTTCGTCGAGGAAGCTCCTCAGTCTATTGGATGTCTGCTGCAGCATTGCGTTCATTTCCAAGCGTGCCCTGCGGACAAGTGTTCGCGATACCGCACTGATAAGCTGTCACATGAGACAAAATCAGTGCCTAGTTCGCAAGAGAAATAATGCATCAGAAAGAAAAAAAAAACGACGGGATTATTCCCTACCTGGTACTCTGAAGTGTAAAACAAGCGGTCATGCATGCCAACGCAATGAGCAAAGGCCTGTTTATACAAGTCATTCAGCTGAAATGTTTCTGCCAGGTAAAGGGCCGCGGTGGCGTGGACAGGTATCTCAGCCATGTCGAGGTACTGCGTGTGGCGCATATACTTGAGCAAATCATCCACGTTGCTTTCCGGAGAGGACCTGAACTCGCGCATGGAGCGAAGGAGTGTGACGAGTGCGCTTCCCAGATTTTCGCCGACGATTGGCCTCCCTAGAACCCACGCAAAAAGATTTCTGAAAGCCAGATGATAGCGCTGTGCCTGCTTTTCGGTGGCATGAGGGGGGGCCGGAATATACAGCTCAGCCGTCGACCTAGGATGCAGCTGATCCCATCTCTCAATCTCCTGCGCCGTCCTGGATGCAAGACCCTCCAGTACCAGGAACTTTTCGAGGAGTGGAAGGCATCCCGCTAACAGCAGAGCCGCAAAGGGCAGCTTGAAAGACGGCCCGCGCTTTGAATCACCCTTGGCATAAAGGTGGACAAGGCAGTTGCCGTTGCGCTCCCAAATCTCGGGATCCTATAGCAATGCAATGCCACACCGGTTAGACTGCTGTTAACACGCCATTGGCGCAGGGACAGGCGTTTCCATTGGGCCAATGCGACTCACTCTTCGTAGCTCGTCCCAGTCCCTACACGTTTTGCTGGCACCATCCCAACGCTTGAGCGGCACCGGCTTGCCATCCTCTCCAATCGAAAGGCCGCGAGCCCTGCGGACGCTGCTTGATCGTGCTCTCGGGCCGGCCATCAGAGGCGGGAAAGACGTTGGGGAGTGGAGTTGATGCTGCCCGCAAAAGACGGACGGTTGTTGGTGTGCGGGCTGTGGACGAGACAGGCCCCAGGTTGTTATATATGGTGGTGTGAGTTTATACCTTGGATATGGAATATGTATAGTATCAGCATGCAGGCTGAAGCATCCACAGATAAAAAAAAGTCTAAACCTCTTTCCCACTCCCTCACACCATCCCCAGCTCCAGTCGTCGGCAGGTGAAAGGCAAATCACAGGCACGTTGAGTCGATCTCCAGCTCTCAGAGGCAAAAAGGGCAGCCCGAGACGTCACAGGCTAGTGATGGTGAGCCCGCTCTCGTGTTCCCCGGCCGTGTAACTTGGCGTGTGGTTCCTGCAAGGCTTGGAGCTTGTGAAGCTTGCTCAACGCCCGCCGAGTCGATGGCGGTATCACGAGGATTGGCAGTCGAATGCAGCCATGAGATGAATCACTCGACAGCCACCATGTTGCAGGGCTGGCCTCTCATACGAACCGAGACGAGTGGAGAGGGACGGCGAGACGCAAAGTATAAAGTAACTTGGAACAGAAAGATTAAGGGAGAACGAGGAGAGACGACGTTTCCGTGTTGCTGCTTGCTCTTGCGTCGGGTGCCGAAAAGGCAATTGCTTAGCAGCTCTTAGCTTGGCCTAGCTCCCCCCAGCTGGCGCAGTGCAATTTTCCTTTTCCCCTAGCAGCACGCCGCAAATGCCTTGGCCAGTGGCCATTGTGCAAGGATGCGGCCCCTGTATTCTAGCCCCGAGAGATGGTGCTAGCTGCTCTAGGGCACTAGCAGTTAGCGCGGCACCAGGCCAGCGATTGCATCAATCAAGGCACCAGCACCCAACATGGACATGCAATTGACTCCAAAGTCCCATCCGAGGCAGCATGTACCCCACTGCAGCAAGCGCCGCGAAATAGTACATCCATGGATATGGATCCATGCTATCGCCATTTGATGTCTCATCGTGATCGCGGCATCCATCAGCACTCGTATCTCGACATTTCGAGGACAAGCAGCAGCGTACTGTACAGCTCGTAGCACGGAAGCACGGAGCATACCCAAGGGCTGGTACCACGGAATATGCACATGTATGCAGAAGCAGCAGCAGCAGAAGCAGGGATGACATCGTCTTCATCAGCACACGCTGCTTTGGGCAAATGGCCAACCATGTCTCATCCAAGCGTTCATCGCTTGCAGGGATGTGCCAGCCGCTCACTGGCTCTGCAGCAAGCACGAGGCGGTGGTGAGCTGGCACAGAGTCGAGTCCCAGCATCCGATCCTTGTTTGCATGATTCGCTCCACCTCAGCATCAGCCGTGAAGAAAAAAAAAAAAAGGCCCGTAGACTTGGGTAGTGCTACATTGCAGCAAGCAAGTGTTCGGCACATGTTGGGGTCGCTTTCTGCTCTCGTCTTGGCTGCTGAGGCCAAGCTCCGGATGCATATCAAGGCCGCGACCGGCCAGTCTGACCACGATAAACTAGATACTATCTTTCTGTCTGCCTTGGTCTGGGTCCCGCCACGCAGTGCACACTCGGTGCATACTGTGGCAGAGAGTCCGGCCAGTCAAGACCAGCGACGCAGAGAGATGGCTGAACCAGGATCCTGCTGTGAGCTGGGCTTTCACAAGTCAACGGAGATGCATCCACGTCACTCCCTCTCGCATAGACTATTGCCAAGCTGAGCTTCTTGTCAACAGCTCCAGATCCAATCGCAGAGGCGCAAAAGTCCGCGGGCTTGCCGAGCTCTGCTTGTTACATGTCTCGTTTCCTCTTCAAGTGCAGAGCCCGAGTATTAGCCCACATTCATGCGGTGTGTTCCTGGTGCTGCATCGTGTCGTCAACTATTTTATCCTGCCTCTTCCTTTTTTTCTTCGGCGAAGCGAAGCATGGCGAAATCTCTTTCCGTCTCCCGTCAAGAGGCGTCCGGGAGTGGACCGAAAAAAAAGTGACGAGTATCATCATGCCATCCGGGCTCTGCCC